CTCTACTGTCTGGCATCCTATATGAAACAGCTTACCCATTTCTTGAAGAGTTTGTGGGCTAATCTTACAGGTGTTTCTTATAAAACACAAGATCATCTGAACGTGTCTGTATTCTGATTTCCCAAATAACTACTTAGTCTGAGGAAGATGCTGTTAAGGAATCATAAGTAGCATCACATCACTGTGAAACAACTCACCTCAAAGTCTATTGTAGCGGAGTTTGACAGTGTTCCGTGTGATTCATTCAGAAGTCCTTCTGTGATGACGGAAATGATTTATGTTTGCACTGACCAGCATAGTAGCCCCTGGCGACGTGGTACTTGAGAACACTTGAAATGTGGGCGACACAATTTTAAGAAATCCTAGATTTAAAATTTATTCAGTTAATAGTTTTATTGTAAAGTGACAAACTATAGTCACATGTACCTGTTACTACTTTCAGGACTTTGTCTGGGGCTGTGTTCCCAAGGCCAAAAAGTGTCATAGAATGTGACATAGGTGGGATAACAGAAACTGTTGTTTTCTGGAGAGTAGTGTAGAAAACAGAGGTTCAGTTTGTAAACGGAGGTGTACATACACACAGAACAAGACTCTTCATTGAAGAAAGAACCTGGATGTGAAGAAAGACCAAACAAATGGGAATTCTATATTCTCATCTTGTTAAATTCTAGAACAGATCCCCCTAGGTGACCAAAGATTCTAAAATCAAATACATTCTGGGCATCATGCAAGTGTATTTAAGTGAGTAAGAATAGATTTTACATAACAGTTTATTAGAATGAGAAACAACTTTAGATACTTATATATCAATGTTGGTCTCAACTTATGCTCTTGTGATTCAGCTCAGAGATGTTCAAGTCAGGTGTAAGCTATAAGAGGGTGGATGATCTGAGGGGTCAGAGGATGATAATCCAGTCAGTTCATGGCTAGCCACTAATGTCAAGAATTCCACCATAAACACACTCATTCAACAACTTCTTTGATGTCTTATTATGTGTCATGCATACTTGCCTGATTTGCAAAAGAAATAACAATCTGCATTTAATATTTTACAGACTGATGGAGAGGCAAGCACTCAATGATTTGATGACAGATAAGGTTATGAATTTATTACCATGTTTTACAGGAAGTGGACATACCATTTGTCCATCAGCTAAAAATGTATATGTTATAAATTTTGTTGGTGGTAAATGATTGGAATATTTAAAATACAGTGTTCATACTTAACATTTTATGGAATTTGATTGTATTTAATTCCAAAATTAGTAGTATGACATATTTAACCAAGAAAATTGATACTTCCTGGTATTAGGAAATCATGCTTGAAGAAACCACAGTTCATCTGGGATATATGTGAGAGGACTTTTATGAGGATGCTTTTTTAGGAATGGAGGGATCATTGAATGGCTACACAAGATGAACACAGGCTGAAGTTAGAGGTGTTCAGAGATAAGATGTGGCAGAGAGGAGCATGAGAATTGCTAAAAGCAGCATCACTTTAGGTGGGTGAAAAGAGGCAGGAGGTAAAACATGTGGAATGGAAAGTCGACAGTCTTTTAAGTTTTATTCTAGTCAGTGTTGGCCATGCAAGGTCAGAAAATGCACTGGTAGAAAGCTGTTTTCAGAAATATTGAGTGAAAAATCAGGCATAATTATTTTATTAAAAATGTGGACTCAGAAGTTGATATGCTGTTAATACAATCCCGAAGAGGATGTGCTGTTTCTTTTGTGTTCTAGACTTAGATTCCTATTTTCTAATGTTTTTCAGGAAGCCAGAACAACTGTACTCCTCAATTTGTTCAGTAGTAAGATGGAGCAGAGTTATGCTGAATAACGTATAGGGTCACTTGGAGAAGGAAATAAAGGCTCCATTTCATTAGTTATATTTCTGATTTTTAATTATAAAAGCAGTAAGTGAATCCAATTATAGAGAATAAAAATATTGCACATTATGGAATAAAATTAGAAGTTCCCTGGCCTATCATCTTTCATTAATGGCTTACATTTCAATTCTTTCTCCATTGAGGTAGAAACTTAGTTTATTGACATAATTTTTAATTTTCTCATATATGCATTTAATGCTTTAAATTTGAGTCTTAACATTGCTTATTGACGAATCTCACACATTTTCATAAAAATGTATTTACCTTATAAGATGTTACTCATGGTTTTTTAAAATTAAATTTCTTCTGTATCTTCTTTAAACCATGTGTCGCTTAGAAATATGTTAATTTTCAAATATTTGGGAATATATGCCTATTTTCTGTTATTGATTTGTAGCTTACTTCATTGTAAAGACCCACACTGCATGAATTATATTCTTTTACATTTGCTAATGTGTGTATGTTCTGAAGCACCACCTGGTCTCCCTTAGAGAGCATTTTATGTGAGCTGGAGAAAGTGTGTGTCCTGTGGTTGCTTCCTGATGGGTTATATAAATGTGAGTAAAGTCAGGTTACTGACTGTTCTGTTCAGGTTCACTGTATCCTTATGAGTTTGGCTACTTTATTTGTCAGTTACTGCCAGATGAATGTTACAGTCTCCAGCTAGAAGATACATTCTGACTCAATTATTGAGAAGGGTTCAGGATTTGTATCTAGATTCTTTTTGTGTTTGTGTTGATGTCCAGTTCCAGCTTCACTTGCTGAAAACTGTATTTATCATGTGTCCTGTGCTTTTGTCTCCAACTCACTTGATCACCTTCTTGTGGATCTATTGATGGTCTATCAATTTGAGTCTTTTTACCTATTTGTCTAGTTTTTCATTTTTGCTCAATATAACAGCTTCTTGAACACTGTGATTTTATAATGAGACTTAATATTGGTTGGTGTCACACTTCCCATTTAGTGCTTCGTACAATGTTGCCTATTTGGTGTGATTTACTTTTCCATCAGTTTTCTGATGTCCACATAATAACACGTTGGGACATTAATTGGGATTATATTGAACCTGTAGATCAAATTGCTAAGACTGAAGATTTAATAATGTCAAGGCTTCTTATGAATGTAGAAAAGAATGATCTCCATTCATTTAGTTTTGTTTGCCCTGTGAGCACATTGCATTTGTTGATCTCTGTCTTTCAGTTTATCAAGAGTGTTCTTAAATTGAGAATTAGAGTATTGACTTTCAAGCTCTTAATATGTTGAAACTTAACCTGGAAATCCTAAATTATTTGCATATTTAAAGCATTCCATCAAATTAAAACCAGATGCACAGAGTTTAGTAAAGAAATATGCAAAGCATTGGTTGAGCATGCAAATTCTGGGAACACCAAGTATATTGGTGTGCTCTAGATCCAGTGAAGTGTGAAGAAGTTGTACTGCATAGGACGATCAAACTAGATTGGTACTCAAGGGTCCGAAGTTGGCAGTCCCATTCAGAGTATTACATATGTGGATTCATAGTAAATGGTTTGATTTTGTCTTATTATGTAGCTCAGGCTTGCTACTTAGCTCAGGCTGGCCTTCAACTCATAATATTTTTCGGCCTCTCAAGTACTGGGATGACAGGTGTGCACAACAGTGCCAAGCTTAAGAGCGATTTGTTTCTTACTCTTTATAAATTCTAGTATTAACTCAGTGACTAGTAAGTAGAAGGTACTTAATATAAGCATATTGAATGCAACCAAGAAATATGATTGAAAAGGTAAAATTAAAATTAAATTACACTGAAGTAACACATCACATTTCTGTTAAGTAATGCAAAGGAATTCATCCCCAAATTAATTAGTGTTCTGCATTTGTAATTCCTTTAAAAATACATGAGTGTGTGAAATCGCTCCTGTTTTTAAATGTTCCCAAAATTTGAGGAAGATTGTTGTTTAGGCAGTGATTTTAAAATTTCAGGTATAGCCTTCTCTTCCTGTTCCATATAGGGCTAAAAAAATTTCTTGGGTAATATCCCAGAAATTAACGTGAATATTCAGGTTTGTTGGAGGTAGTTTAATACTATAGTTACCTTTCCTTATATAGTTCCAGGAATTGTATTTTCTCTGGATTCCCCAGAGTCATAAGGAAGGAAAATTTCCTCTTACACATATTTTCCAATTTAATTTTAGAGAAAACAGTGGTTTTTCAGGGCCTTGGTAAAGGGAAGGGTCGTTTTTTTTTATTTTGTTATCTTGCTCATGGCTTTAGCATTCTCTTAAGCTGGAAAAAATGTCCAGATAAGGCAAGTGGATATCCCTGGTCACGGTGACAACTTCATTAATTTTTCATTTGGGGAAACAAATAGCAACTGTCTCATCCCATGGAAATTCTCTTTACTTGTTTGAGATGTGGGTGCCATCAGGTTTTCTAAATCAAAACTACATAATGTGTGAATATTAAGTTATAGGATGCTTTGAGGACATTCTGGCTTATTTTCTATCATAGGTGAGGAAAATGAAGCTGTGAAATCACACGATTATCAGCTTTTCCACAGCTAGTTTAATGGAAGAACTGAAATTAGTTTTCAGTTTAGCAATGTTTTATATCTTCTCAGTTTTGGAAAACATTATTTTATTATTTTCAAGTCTCCTAAGCCAGAAATATTGCCAGTGTGGTCTTGAAGGTTCTGACTTTTATTTCCCTGGTGTTTGAGTGCACCAGTACACAATGTTCGCATGTTTGGTGCCCTACTGAACTATATTTACATGCAATGTTACATACTCTTTTTTTTCTTTCTTTGTGTGTGTGTGTGTGTGTGTGTGTGTGTGTGTATGTGTGTGTGTGTGTGTGTGTGGTGTGTAGATCAGAGGACAACCTGCAGAAGTTGGTTTTCCCTTCCACCATGTGGGTCCAGGGAATTGAACCCAAATTTTGTCAGGCTTGGTAGCAAGCTCCTTTATCTGTCGAACCATCTTAACAGCCCACTATTTACAGTATTTTTTAATGGTAAACAAAATACTATGTATTTTCCCTAGAAGAGGCAGAGAGAATTATTTCAGAGAAACTTGTAGATTTTTTTCATGACTATGCCCATTTTCCTTGGCAGGGCCCTTCACTAGCCATACCAGGCAGATGAACCCAGCAAACCATTCCCAGGTGACAGCGTTTGTGCTCCTGGGGCTCTCTCAGGTATGGGAGCTTCGGCTCCTCTTCTTCACTGTCTTGTCAGCTGTGTATCTTATGACGGTCACTGGCAATCTGCTTATTGTGGCCATCGTGACATCTGATCCGCGCTTGCATACGATGATGTATTTTCTCTTAGGCAACCTTTCATTCCTGGACTTCTGCTATTCTTCCATCACTGCCCCGAGGATGCTGGTTGACTTGCTCTCATGCAACCCAACCATTTCCTTCAGTTCCTGCCTGACCAGGCTGTTCTTTTTTCACTTCATTGGTGGCATCAAGATCTTCCTGCTG